CCCGATTGCCCGTTCTGTTTCGGTGGCCCCGGAGCAGCGCGGGGTGGGGGGAGCAGAGCGCATCCTGACCTGCTCTGGGGAGAGGCCTCACGGACACAGCCCGAGCCCTTCCCAGGTTTTCACTGCGTAGCAGAGCTCTGGGGACGCAAGAGGGTACTGCCGCCCCCTTCGTGGTGGGGTTGCCCCCCCAGCTCTCCTTTCCCTTTGCAGTTCGTGCTGAAGCACAAAGAGTTCTCTCATCTGCGGGAGGTGAAGACGTTTCCCAACGCCCTCAACCCGCACAAGGAGGAGTCCCGGGCACTGGTCAAAGCCATGATTGACCACGTCATGGCGCTGCATGAAGACTTAAAATGGTTTCATATAGGATGCGATGAGGTGAGACTTCTCTTGAGCCAGGAATTTTTTGGTGAGGGATGAGGCTTTGGGGCTCCTGTGTTTCAGCGGTGCTCAGGACACGTTTGGGCAGAACTTTGGAGACAGAAAACATCAACTTCAAAGAAGCCAACGGAGAAAAGTCTTTTCAACACTTAATGATTCCAGCATTATGGGATATCATTTCTATTCATCTGACCGATATACACCCAAAGTATTAAATGCAGTTTCTTAAAGCAAACTCAGCATTTGGTTTTATGTCAAATGAGAATTTAAAGTGAGATATCAATTGGAAACGTTTTTGAAGAATCATGTGAGTTTTCATGTAGGACGTTGACTGAATGTTCTGGACAAATTTTATCTCACTGAAAGTGAGCTCTTTGTGATGGGAAGTATTTTCTGTTCCTTTAGTAGTCTGTCCCCTTGAGAAGGGGAGCCTCGAGTTTTCTCCTTTCTCTGGATTTCCAAAAGCCCATCACTATGACATACAGAGCCCTGAAATTCCTTATGCTCACGTTGGCGGTATTGGCATTAGTTCAGCACTTTGAGTCCTGCTGTGTGATAATTATAGTGGCACTGTTAGATAAAGACCTGCCAGCTTTTATAAAGGAAGATATTACCAAAGTAGAATAAACAGGTTTTAGATAAAAACCTACTCTAAAACAACAAAGAGTTTAAACACATACCCATATGAACAGGCCAAAATCCTCTTTCTGCATAAGACCAAGTGCTCTTGGTCATGCTCCTAAGTCACTTCTAGGTTTCTGTACACATTTGCTTTCACAAGACAGGAACCTCATTTTATGTAATCCAGGACCTCTTGGGTTGCTAGAATTCTTGAACCAAGTAAAACCACTGAGAGCTACTCTCTCAGGGACAAACTTTCCAAAGACAAATCCAGCGTGCCTTAATTTTTCTTTAGATATTTTAGTTCCTGTAGGAAAGTTCCCTTTTAGTCAGGGCCAGTCTCCCACAAGCTGACAGATGCTTGCAGTGTCATCAACACCAAGAGATGCTTTGAGATACTGCCACAAAGCATGTCACTTCTGTGCAATAGTTCGTGGATGTTGTATGATTTCACGATACTGTGTCAAACGATCCCCCTTATTCCTGTACAAGAAGTCAGATTATTTGCTTGGTATTTCAGGTCTACTACCTTGGTGAAGGAGAGGAGTCAAAACAGTGGCTGCAGCAACAAGAGAACACGCCAGAGAGGCTGTGCTTGTCCCACATAAAAGCGGTTGCAAGTTGTATGGCCTCATCTTATCCTACTGTCACGCCTATCGTGTGGGATGATATGCTGAGAGGAATAAGTGAGGAAGCATTGGCAGGTGTGTGATCAGTGACAGGGTGAGTCATTTTTTGTAGCATACCAGAAATAAGGTTTACTCAGGCATTTGAAACAGATTTGCTAGCAGCTGAAAGTAATGAAAAAACAAATCTAAGGATAGCTGAGATATGGTCCATTAGACTAGAAAGTGGAGACACATTTCATCCTTGACTTTGTCACAGGCTTCCTTTGTCACCATGGGCAAGTCGCATAATGCATGCGCTTTTGTTTTCCAGCTGGTGACAAATGTAATATAAAGTCATCGTGGGGGAATTTTGCCGTAAATTCTACTTCCTCTACCCAATAAAAAAAAACACTTAGCGTTTGTGGTCTCAGCCTAAGCTTCTATGCTTCTCACCACTTTCTGATGTGGTTGCTCTGTACAGCAGCAGCAGCAGCTGTGTTCCAGTGGTGCAGATTCACGAGGAGAAGCTGTGACCTCGCATCTTTGACAGTGCAGTTGATCACAGTACACATCACGAGGATCTCCAACACTGAATTGTGGGATAGCTCCATGACCTTGATCCTCGTGAGCCTTGTCTGTTGAAAAATATGCAAGTGCTGCTAAAATTTGAGTAGTGCTAATAAAGTCCTGATAAAGACAGGGTTTCAGCATTTTCAGAGCCACCTTGCAGGTCTGCTCTCAACAGATTTAGGCAGTATCTTCATGATACTCCTCCAGTAGTGACATGGCTCCTCCAGTAGCGACTGATCTACCCATACGGCTGTGAGAGTGGGAAATTGTCAAAAAAACGTAGATAGGACCCATGCAGTTCCCACAAGAGAAACACAGCTCGGTGCACTGTGTTGCCACAGCCAATAACAGACTGAACAAATTAAAGTGTGATTCAGTTAAAATACTCAATTTACTGCAGTTTCCCCAAGGGTCAGAGTTTGTCATGTTTAAATATAGTCAAGGGAGTTGGTTACAAGGGAACTTGAAGCTAAACCTCTATCTTCATTTATACTTTCAAGGCATCTTGAAATGCTACGTTCTGCACAGAAAAGCTCTGCCTTAAAGGGTGATTACTATTGCCTTTGAATTTAGATGAAATCTTATGCGTGCAGTTCACAGCTCTAGACCCTTTGGCGTACAGATGAATTCAAAGGACTGAGAATGGGATGGGCTTGGGATGAAGGGGATCTCTGATGCATTGTCCCTGCTGATCCCCATGTTAGCGGTTTCAAGGCGTCAAAGGATTTAGTAGCCCCAGCACGTGAACTGAACCCTAACGTGCAAAGTCCTGGCCAGGCTGAAAGTGCATGCGGACACTTCAACTGTAGAGGAAGAGTTCTAGTGACAAGACATAGGTAGTTTTATTTATGTGTTACCGTACCACTGATGTTTACTTAGTTCTCACCTGTGAGCAATGCAAAATGGACAGTTAAAAGAACTCTGTTCCTTTCAGAGTCTGGGGTCCCCCAGCTTGTGGAGCCAATGATATGGGACTACGCAGCAGACTTGGACGTCGAAGGCAAAGGTTTGTACTTCTCTGCTGAGCTGCTTGGAAAAAGCAAAGCTGCGTTGCCTATAGAACAAAACAGCCATGACAAATTAGTATGATTAAAACATACCATAGCTAGACGCCTTGTTTGATTTCACGGTTTTCTTGTCACGTTTTTTCTATGAAGGACTTTCAATGTCTGCTGCTTGTTTCTTTTCAAGAGGGCTGCAGAATCACTGATGGGAAAGTGAGGGGGTTTTCAAAGGACTATTTTTTGCGTTAACTCTTCTCACATTAAAATCAGTACTGATCAGTTCTACAAAGGAAGCTTCAAGGCTTCGTACATCTACAGAATTCAAAAGAAAAACTCCTAAACTTTCTCATGAGAGAATGGATCAGCCATCTAACACGTGCAAATACTCATCTGTTGAAACACGAACCAGTTGTCAGATGTTGCGCGTACTCACTACATACCTGCTTTTCATGGCGTTGCAACGATTTAGCAACTCAGAGGAAACGGAGTATAGTACCAGGTCACACAAAAACAGCAGGGCAATAAAACTGCCCCTTTAAGGCAGCAGATACAGCCCCCTATGAAATACTTTAAGAACCCAGGTCTAATTTTTATAGAGAAGCGAAGGAGAGTCACCTGCCTCTCTTAAAGCTTATGACACATAATACACATATCTTATATCAGTAAAAACAACCCAGCTGCTCCCATGCCAGCAAGCCTCATGGCTCCCTCTCCAGCAGAAAAGTTCCAAGCTCAGAATTCCTTTAATTGGAGCATTACAGTCCAGGCTGAAAATGGAGAAAGACTCGTGCTGTAAGTGCTCTTTTGTGTCTTCTTTCAGTGCTTCTCATAGAGAAGTATCGTAGATGTGGCTTCTCCAAGGTGTGGTTTGCTAGTGCTTTCAAAGGAGCTACAGGAGTGAATCAGTCTCTAACTCTTATAGGACATCACTTAAAAAACCATCTTCAGTGGCTGAAAGTGGCGAGTAATAGCCCTGCTGGTGTGCTTCAAGGTATCGCGCTGACTGGCTGGCAAAGGTAAGGAGCATCTTTGTAAGTGTTTCCAAGAATTACATGAAAGCAAACTTCCACTCCCAAACTCCAAAAGAGAGGCGAGGAAGCCGGGGATTCTCCTGGGAACTTTGCAACCCTGCACAACCTTTCCTGGTGGCTACTGCGGGACCTCACTCAGCTGACTGAGTAGAAAGGGTAGATTCCTGAGTTCCATTCAACCCCTACTACAGCGTTAATCAACAGGCACCAACACTAGTGAATTGGATTTGAAGGCTTGACTGCACTTTGTGCCACCCTGGACTGCTTTTAGACACCAGTACAACTGTTTTAACCCACACAAATTATGTTCTTTATGTAATACCCCAACTCTTTAACATTCAGAGGAACAAGTAAAAACAGTGCATGAAATACTAGAACAAAACAGTTTCAGCTCAAGTGCAGAAGATCTTTCAAGTGATTGTATGCTAGCTGTACAGGGCCAGAGAATTTAAATGCAGCTCGGACTACACAAACTTTTGCAGCCCTGTTGAGCCCTGTTTAAATGAATATCCAGCAGTATTTCCGAGTAGCTCCTTCCAGTACGTAAGTATTGCCCAAGAAAATGAAAGGCATAGTTAATGCAATACCTGGCATATATCTGAATGTCTGATGTAGATTCAAATAGAATGAAGTTGCATGGGAGGTAAAAGTCTATCCATGTAAGAAAAGAGTAAAAGATTTTTATGCAGCAGTCGAGTGGTCTAAGAGAAGGCCAGAGAACTGGATTCCAATTTCTGACGCTAATTTGGCTCAAGTCATTTGTTTGGTATTTGTTCTTATTAGTAAAACAGGAACATTGAGCCTTTCAGAAGGAGAAAGGTACCTTCTCTGAGAGAGAAACTGGTATTTCTAAAGCTCTCTGATTTTTAGTGATTGAAATATTAATACTTCCCCTTATGTTTTAACAGCAAGATGTCTAATTAATGTTCTCTTATTTAGGTATGATCACTTCTCTGTTTTGTGTGAGCTTCTCCCTGTGGGGATTCCATCATTGGCTATATGCCTGCAGGCACTAAAGAATGGTACATAATGACAATTTTATTCTCTCTGAGCTAATGCCTAGCCCAAAAGAGTGAAGTGGCCTAGCCCCAAGGTTAGCACAGGTTATTACATTTTGAAGTTGTTTAACTATCTGATCATGGCCTGAATTATGAACAATAAATTGTACATCTGGCATGACTCAGATGATGGCAATTGCAACATTTGCAATATGGGAGGGGGAAAGCATCATAGCCTGTGTATTTAGAAATAGCCATATTTTATATATATGTTGTTATAATGTCTTAACCTGCAGAAGCATAAGCACACTTCCTCCTGCTTATGCTTTTGAAGCTGACTTGACACATTGATCTGTAAGTGAGACGAATTCCATTTAGATCTTGTTTACATGAAAAAGTTGTCATTTTTAACCTGTTTTCTTAAAACTCATACAGCATGCAAGTACACTGTCTGGAAAAAATACTTCCTGTAGTTTCTTGTTTCTTTGCAGGCAGTTGCTAATACTTTTTTTCCCCCCCCTGCATTTCTTCTTTTCAAAATAAAAGACACTTTTCTAAACAAGGCACAAATATTAAGTACCCAGAATGAAAAGCTCATAACTAGAAAGTGCTTTAGCTAGCACAAGTAATCTGTGAATAAGATTTAATGTGCTATCCCCATACGTCCTTCCCCCCGCCATCTCACAGGTTCTTTCCTTGGTCTGTTTCCTTTTTTACTTTGTAAAAAAAGTCTTCATCAAGGGAGAAGAATTAGGCCGATACTAAGTACTCCAGAAAAATACTCCTCATGAGCATTTTGGTTAATTGGGCTCCTTTTACATATTTCCACTGTCTTCTGCCCAGGTGGCTATTCTGAAAAGGTGAAAGAAAACGTGGAAAAGCTCCTGGGAATGTCTAATCTGGAAACTGATACTTTCATGAGGTAAAGTTTCAGCTGCTGTATTCAGATGCTTTTTATTACATGGTAAGTTCAGAAACTAATGGATTTCGTTTGGACAGCACAAGTTTGGGGACCTTTCCCGGGAGCAACATCCTCACACTTGTGACGCAAGTTAGTTTCTACCTCAAATCATCAGTGGATGAACTTCTCGAAAGGAACAGGTAATAAGGTTTATATGGATTCTCTTGCTGTTTACCAGAACATGGGGGCTATATATTCAGGAAATGAGGATATGCATTCAAGTAACTCCAACGAGGTGGTTAGTCACTTAACCATCAAGCATCCCTATATTCTGACACCTCAGCAGAACTTAGTATTTAGATGCAAATTCAGCAAAGTATTTAAGCAGAATTCCTAAACAGTATGTGCTGTCTTATTTCAATTGAGTTCCTTAGTGAATTAAGCCTTACTGCTACTGGGGGCAAAAATACAAATTTACTTACTCCTTAGGAGTTATCTGCATCTGTGTAAGAAGTCCAGCTAAAAAGCTCTATCACCTCCCTGTCAGCCTACAAACACTTGTATTACTGCTGTTCCAAAAATATTCATACTGTCATCCATTTTCCAGGTATGTCATGGGCTGGTTCAGCCCCTACCACAGGAAGAGGAAGATTGTTCATCCTATAATAATGCATCACTTTCAGCCAGAAGCAATAAGGTAACGCCACTTATTTTGCATTATAGGGGAAATAAAGTTTGTCATAATTTAAGTATTCAAATGCATATAGCTTTGAGTTCTCGACTCTTTCTACAGTTAATGTTTCAGCAGAATTACTGGAAAAATCATTATGAAGTTACACAGTTTAAAAGAACACATTCAATCTTTGTCTGAACTCCACTGAACAAGTTCATAGAATACAAGTACAAAATTGGTCTCTGGAAAGCTTTCCCTTGTATATGTAGTTACTCCTATACAAATACAACATGTTACAGAAAGTCATTAGCCTCAGCATAGAAGCACACCATGGGCCAGATTCCAGGCAGGGCTTATTTAAAAAAAAAAAAACAAAAAAAACAAAAAAAACACCACAAACACAGATCCCTTTCCCCTGCTCCCAGTCACTGCACGCGCTCTTCAAAATTTGTCCTAGAGATAGTGCTGATTCATGCTAAGTGGCTAATGTTTTTGCTGCTTAGACTCCTGCTGATAAATCTGGATTTAATTTAAAATTCCTAGCTAGACCCACAGTGGGTTTGAGTTAGACTTAAATATATTTGTCTTTTGAACTCATGTTTCTGCGCTTTAAAAGTCATTACATAAGAAAAGTGCCCAGATCAATGGTACCCAGAAACACAGACAGCAATCAAAAGCATCAACCTTCTGCCATCGGCAGAGGGCAGCGTCCTTTGAACTCCTGTAATAGACGCTTCTTTCCTTGCAAAGTAGTTTTAAAGGATTGTCCTCCCTTCCAGAAGCCCAGCAGCTAGTCCTTCCTTGACCTAGAGCTTACCTGCAAATGCAGTTACTGGCCAACGTGCTTGGTGCCTTGTATGCTGTGGCACCTTGTGCTCATTTCTTCCTTCTGATTTTTGCTTAGTCTTCTATCCAAGTGGAATGCTGTGGTGCAAGATCTCCAAGCAGCCATGGAACAAGTTTTCCACAAGTGTACTGTAGATGAGTGGATGGAGGAGAACGTCCACCCCAGCCTGCAAAAGCTGCAGCAAGTGGTGGATGATTTAGATGAAGCAATAAAAGCTCAAATTTAGGAGTTCTAATTGCAGTCTGTCTTACTCCATGGGGAACTTGGCTCGTGGAAATCTGCAGATAATCCGTTTGTCATCTTAAGAGTTGAAAGCAACAACTGTCATTAAACAAAAGTGACCTGAAGGCATAAAAGAATTATTAGTGTAGGAGGCTTCAACTATTTATTTTATTTCCCTCCCCCTGAGGGGCACTCTCCTGAGTCTTAAATCACCTGCTCTGTAAATAACCAGATTTGGTCCCCTATGTAACAGCAAGCAGGAGTGAGGCAGGGCTCAGCTGTATGGCAAGGCAGGAGGGGAGGGGGAGGAAAAAAGAAAAAAAAAAAGATTTTTCCAGATTCTGTATTTGCAGTAATATGCCTTTTCTTATGTAACAACCACCTGGAGAAATTCCACAAGTTCTAGTCAGTAGCCAGCACATCCTCCCCTTGCAACTTCTGTAAAAGTTAAAAAGACTTAGAATACTTTATATGTGCTTTAGGCTTTATCACGTTCTATATTGCGATTCGTATCTCTATCAGCTACGTTCAGAGATGTGTCCTACCATAGCATCACAAGTTGCTCAACAGCACATAACGAAAGATTTGTTCTAGAGCAGACTTTTAGAATTTTTGAAATATATAAAGCCATCAGTTCTAAATGCAGCTTTGATCGGATTCAGATCAGGAGATTAACATCCTTGCTTAGACTTCTTCAAAAAGCCAGAATTGCTGCATAGGTGCTCACTAAATTACAGGAGGTACGTGAAAGAGGACCAGTACCATCCCAGTACAGAACATGATAGAGCTTCAGAAAAGGAGCTTGTCTTAACCAATAGTTAAGATGACTGAGGAAAAACTGCCTTAACACATTCGGCTTCTTGACGTTTTTACTAAAAGTCATCTAAGCTAACCATAGTTTTATTCCCACAGAAAAGCACCATCCACATCACTTAAGGCATATACTTACTTAGCTATGCAAAATCTGACCACGACTGCAGCTTCTTCCATCTTTGGAGCGATTCTAAAGTTACCAAATTTCCAGGAAAAACGCTAAGTTTCATTCTGCTTTTATGTTGAACATTTAGTAATCTATAGCAATACCATTCAGACAATCACTGCGAGGGAAAAACCAAAAATCAGATAGTCTTAAGTATACTCCTTTAACTTTTTTTTTTTTTTTTTTTTAAATCTTGTCTGCTTTGTCTATTGCTTTCTTGAAAGTCTTCTATTTAGGAAGCACACATACGGACATTTTCATGAAACAATCTATTTTAACATTAGTATAGATCTAGCTACTGAAAGTGCAAGAAGTGCAGCATAAGACAAGTCTTTAACTGTTGTTATAAGAGAAAGAGCTACAAGAGTTAACTCCATATGTAGATTTTTAATCCAAAAAAAAAAAAAGACTGCCATGTACATTTAAAGCTGCATACCTTGTGACTAAATAGTTCACATACCTTGAACTAAACAAGATCTTAGTTTATTTTACCATAATAAATCCTTTGCTATTCAAAGGACAGTATCATTTTGAAACTTGCCCTTGTTTTGCATGTGACTTGTCAGTTTGGTTTAAAGTGGAAACAATATTTAAGTATATTTACTAGTGAAGAGTCACTTATTAGCTTCTGTGAAAACAAGACTAATTAGGCTTCTGGGCTGCTGTAAAAGAGTGAAAGCAGGGTTAGTAACAGGTTAGGTATTTGGGTTTCCTTCCTTCTGTCCTCATCCCCAATAACTCTTTCAATAGGTCTGTATCAAGCGGTCGTTTAGACAAACATGAATATTTTTATACATTTTAATAAGGACGAACAATAAAAGACTACACTGACACAGAACAAGTTAAAGTTGATTTTATTCATAGTCATCTTAAAAAAAAAATAATGTACAAGGCCTTGCTAAAATTCTACTTGCAGTATTGAAATAGAAAAGCAATTTCTAAACAAACATTTTCTAGAAGTATTTTTGCCTCTGAGCAATCTACTACAGTGTCAGAACTAGCACTCATTTAGTATGTAAGCCAGCTTGGTTTTTGACATCTACATAACTTCATAAATACAGCAGAGAAGTCAGATCTCAGCTATATGGTATAAATACTTTGATTTACCTTGACATGTACACAATTGATACTAGTTACTGAAACATCTCATTTGGGGAAATAACAGAACCTTGGATTATGGCTTAGATTATGTAACTTTCTCACTTTGTACAATAATCAAGTCTAGCATCCAACTGCATACACGAAAGTAATTTCAAGTGTACGTAGAAGTTTCAGCTGAAACATCTGCCAAATGGTACTCATGATACAGTTGGAAAGGACATAATGGAAAAATGTATGGCGAAGCAGGGATAGAGCTAATTAAAGGTCTTTTAATAAAGGTTTTCAAATCATATTTATAAATAAGTCATATATAAACTACAGCTGTCCAGACTCAGGTTACTAGACAGCCTGAGATGTAAAAAGCCAAGCAAATAAGTCCAGTAATACTTTTCTAGAAGCGTCTAGTTTCCTAGCCAAAACTACTCTTTCATTCATCACTCCTTTTAGTACAAGCCACTTTACATCAGGCACCCAAAAGGCTACATTTACTGGGCTTTTTAATATGCTAGGCGCAACAGAAGTGGGGGAAAAACATCACTGCTCAAAAACATTTTCAGCAAAACAGTGAAAAGTGACAAGAAAGGAGGAGCTGAAAGAGGATGAATGGAAAGAATTAAGAACAGAACCTGTCTGCTATTCTAAACACAGTTCCTTCATTCTGCATCAGATCACTGATGAGTCTGCCAACATTGCCATAGCCAAACGTTAACTGCAAGCCGCAAGTTAATTTTCCATGCACATGGTTACTGTAAGACAAGAAAATCTGGATAATATCTTCCAACTGCCAAAGACAAAGCCAGTTTTTGAAGACAAGAAGTTCAAAACCTGGACCAGGAGAAGCAACATCATACCGGAATACACATGCATGTGTGACATCCAAGTGTCAGGTTACACGAAGTTCTTTACCTACACTGTAGGTAAGCATCACTATATACTGAGGTCCCAGTTGTACATATGAAGCCGGGAGCGTCCAGCATACGGCCTGCAGGCAGAATCCAGAGCACGTCAGGAATTTACTCAGTCCCCTCCATACTAGCTCATTCTCTAGAACTCAGGTTCTCTTTTGAACTAATTCTAATTTTTTTTTATGGCAACAAAGACTCACCAAAGGCGAAATAGAAACCGCACAAGGGAGGATTACACCAGCTGTTCTAACTGTAAGGCAGACACTTTAAAGCATTCTTCCTGTACACACAGTGCATCCCAGCCTGCGTCACTGACTACCCTTTATCAGTAGGAAATTTTGCTATGCCTTGAGAGGGTGGGAGGCACCATCTAAGGAGCTGATCATCTCTGAGGAGCTGATCCTATCCTTGGACAGCAACCAACTTGCTCCACAGAACGTATTTCAGACTGTTATATCTTACTATAGGTCATTCCCCTTTCTTCTGAATTCTATTTACATTTCCGTTTTAGTCTTTTTATGATCGTGTTTCATGATACCTCAGCAGTATGTTACATTACTAACAGATCAAGAACGTATAGCAAGTTGGATGCACCCAAAAAAACTCAGCAGAAGCAGAGGGGATGATGCAATGTAGGGTTAGGTCAATACAAACGCCTTTATTAAACTGATTTTTAATGAGAAAACCACAACATGGTTTGTATCTTCCATGTGGTGTTAGCTCTCATGGAAATGCAAAAGCAGCCCAGTATAGCCAAGACTGAATGCAGGCAGGTAGTTTTATCTGTGTTTTATTGATTTATGGTCCAGTCTGTGGGCTCAGAATTTCTAAGTACCATGCATGCATAGCCATACTATGTTCTCCCTCCAAATAGCCTTGCTACAAAGAAGGAAGTATCTGCAGGTTGATCCCTTGTACTCACATTATACCATTAAACACCTTTTTTTTTTTTTTTTAACAGTACCAGAATACCTTAGAACACTGCAGAGGGGTGAAAAACATTCTCTGAATTCCCAATCTCATTCTCTCTCCAGAAACAGTTTTCTCCAGGTTATTTCTCCAGTTTTCTCCACAGCATTGCATCCAGTGGAATTTTCCCTTTTTTAAAAAGCAGGTTTAATGATTCTTATTTTACAGCTGTGCTTTGAAAGAGAGATCAAATTTAGTTAATTACACAATCTAATTTTTCACATATTAGCACATGGCAGTTTCCCACTTCCAGCTGATGCAGGGCAGAGACCAAAAGCCACGTAGTTAGCCAGCCACTTCAGAGGACTTCACAAGCACATCTATCAGCAGACATCTGCTTTGATGCCTGCCATGGTTACGAGCCTCTTATCTAAGAAGAGTAGACCTACTTTTGTGCTGCTGTCAAGCTACACAAAATGGTAAACTGTAACATGAAGATAACTGTTCAAACCAACAGCAAGAACATGTTTGTCTCACAGCTGTTACATTCTAGGTCTAAATGGCTGGAAGTGAAATCTTACCACAGCCTGTTCTTTCGTCAGATAAGCACGTGCTTGGTTTCAATCAGGACTGGAACAGACAACATTTTACGGGATCTGTCTTCTACTGAAATCTTTTCACAGATTTCACTTCTTTAGAGGTAGAGTGCTTTGAAGCAGGAATATAGGTGCCTGTAAACTCAGAAGAGACTGCTGCCAGAAGACATATTGCTGAGCAAGTCTGAAGGCAGATCATCTAGTTACCCTCTACCCCATGGAGATCTCCTCCATCAAACTGTGTATAAATATTTTCTATCTCAGGTCTTAACACCATACAATTCATAAACAATACTAGGTGAACTTTAATGCAAGCAGTTTTAGCATGCTGAAGGATCTTTCAGCTCTTTACAACTTTTTCCCTCATAGTAATAACATGTTGGTATAGGCACAATGAAGTTTTAGTTCTAGACAAAAGACTTTGACCAGAGATAGCTTTTACTTCTTTAAAAAAAGAATATTGATCTTGGAAAATTCCTGGTTTTTAACCATTTGTAAAACCATAGGACAGAATGAAGGACACTACACACATCTGGAGTAATAATCTGGGCACAAGTCTGACAGCAGAACTCTCCCAGCTATCTTAACAAAAATTAAGTTTTTATTTAGCACTTCAGTATCACCTAAAGCAGGGAATACTAAACAAGTCTAGGCTGCCATGTTGTCTGACATGAGTATTTTCCCTATCTAAAATAGCAGATTTGCTTTTTCCCCCCACCCCTCTTTCCAAATAGACAGTTAAAACGGTAAATGTTGAGGTCCAGAATTAGGCTATTCCATTGAGGGGTAGCCTATGCCCAGAAGTTGAGCAGGACAGGATTAAACTAGAACATGTCAAAGCTGTTGAATGATCCACATGTTGATTTTTCATTTATTATTTATGGCTCCTTGGCAAGTCCAGGAGAAGTAAGACCACATAACAAGTAGACCAACCCGATATTTAAAGTTCCAGACAGTCACTTCCAAACTTTGATTTCCACTGGTCTCTAGCGGCAAGTCAGTAGTAAAGAACAAAAGTGCCATTATCCTGCATCACCTTATTGCATATATTAAACTGCTTAAAACCAATAATATATTCAGTCATTTATATTATTTCAAAGACAGAAAAAGTCAAGAGCATTGTGTTATGAGTTACAAATTCAGCTCTTCTGCATTTCATATACTGTACCTGCAGTAGATGTTTGCAATAACTGGAAGTTTACATGCGTATCTCCACCTCATTGATGGGAAAGCAATAAATGACTTCAAACCAATTCATTACTAAACAGTTATTCCTAGTTGAGCTTGATGAGCTGACAAAGTTCAAAGGTCAGCACTGTCCACATCCAGATACTAAGTCAAAGGAACAACAGAATTTGCTTTGGACTCTACAAAGGCCATATTTGGAATGGAGGGGGCGTGCAGAAATTTGAAGCAGTTTAACACTAAGAGGTGTTAGCGGAATCAAGACAGATTCCTCCCACTGTAAATGCACACGTAGAGAAACGCCCAGTTAAAGATGACAAGGGATTTTTCTCCTGAAGAACAACCAGTATGTTTTCCATATGTTTGAAGGCCTCTGCTTTCTTCAGCTCATGATGACTATTAATATTTATCCTCTGGTTCATCAGCGTCACTAGCCTCTGTTTCGCTGCTCTGAGAGAGATCATGTTGGCTCTCTACTCTGTCCAGTTCCAGAAAACTAGTGATGAGTTTGGCAACTGCTTCCACATCACTGTGGAAAGGAACAAACAATGCAAGAGTTAGTGGAGTTGTGGTGCTGACAAGACAAGAACAGGCACCCTATATTCCTTGAAAATACATGTGTTTGAAGGGCCAGTCAACACATGGCATCATTTATTGACAGCACCCTACTTGTAAAGGAGCATCAAGCCAAACAATTACTTCCATATCAGAACAAGTCGGGATCCTTTTCTAACAGTCCCTGTTGCAAAGTTCCTTGTGTGACCTACTGCTTTTATCCTCAGTACTAAAAAAAAACAAACTCAGTTAACTGATAATTACAGTAAGTGCTTGCAAAACATAACGGAATCAACCCTCTGCCACTGCACAGCTGAACCAGTGAAGCCAACTACAACAGATATGGTTCTGACAGCTCCAACTTGGAAAGGCAGCCAGAGCAGCAATTGCTGGGAACATCAGTGCAGAGAAATAAGCTCTGATCAGCTCTGCTGGCCAAAGATTTGACTGACAACAATCCCTCCCCCCTGCAGCTTGTCACACTACCTTCTCTTCTGGAGGATATCCTCCCTTTTAGAGCTGCTCACATAACACACCTCAGTCTAGTCCGGGAAAGTCATCCTCAGTCATTTGGATAGTCTATTAAAGTTCTTCAGTTTGAGTATCTTTGGCTAACAGCTAAGTTCAGCTGGAACAACTTAGTTCACAGCCTGATTGGTGTGCTAACTCTCAAGAGAGAGGTGGTGAGTGCTGGCTAAAGGGAGTCATGGCTTTCACCAGTGCATCTAGATCTGAAAAGAGACTTTACCACTGTCTAGATTTACTTAAAAGCAGGGGGTACTGTTACTACTGGGTTTTCAACATACTTCTGCTCTGCTGAGCACTTCTCTCGTTTAAGATCTACCTTTGCTCAGATGCTCTGAAATCTTCCATTCTGTTCAAGTAGCTGATGTAGTGTCCAGTGTTGGCACACCTAAAATTCTCAGCATATCGTGATTTCATATTTTCACTTTAACTCAGATTGCTTGTCTTTAGTACAAGCATAGGCTAGCTGTATCTCTAACATGCAACTCAATCAGTAATATGAATAGCAAAAATAAAAACCATTGTGACTGAACTAGACATAGTAAACGCTGGATTAACGGAGTCTTACATCTCTATGATCAGTCTCCTGACGAAGATGGTGTTATTCACAAGTGTATGATTCAAATGATAAGAAGTTTAAAAAATAAACGGAATAACACAAGGAGTTATATCAGTAAGTACAGAAATGGAGCTAAGATGATTCTCCCAATAGGTGGCAATGACTGCCTCATGTGACTGATATTTCCTACCTGACATATTACGATTAAAAAACAAAGACCACACTGCACCTTCTGCAGCCCAACACTGCACTCTGAGTCAGTGGGTGTGAAAATCCAGTGACAAATCGTAGCACAACCAGGTAACCCTTCCCAAAATATCGCACGGTCTCCTCTTCCACGTTCACATCTCTGATCTCATGCAGTAGAGCCACTACTGTAAACAGACATGAAGAAAGACGGTATTAGCATTACAGTAAATTCTTAGCACTACTGCTGCTGGTGGCTTATGCGACTCAAAGTCCACGTTCTCCTTCCCGAGTAGCTTCAGTACTATTGCTCTGATCCCATACAACAAGGGCAATCTTGCAATGGCAAACAATTGCTGATCAATTCTGTCAAAACAACCAAGGAGAGAACATAGCATGTACCAGCTGGTATAGTCTGCCCTAATGAACAAGTTAAACTACCTCTCAGAAACTGGGGAGCAATAGTTTATTACTTGCATTTCCCACCTATTTTAATTAGTTTAAACTAGGTATCTGTACAAGTAGGTAAACAGCTGTTAAGTTTGAACAAATATTGAAAAATTTCACTGTTCAGATCAGAGCACCTGTTGAGCTCAGCATCCCCACGTTAACTATCCTTGAAACGGAGCAAATACCAAGTAACATCTCTCCAGAAGCCATATGCTCAGCTCCAACATATAAACATACTCTGAAGAAGAGTTCAGAAATATTAAACATCCTTCTCTCCGCATCTCTTATCTTCCAGCTCCAAAAGAAGTGTTTAAAATCCAATTAGACTTTTAAGGACAATCCAAATGTTGTCAGTTTTCCAAGCATCTCTAAAGTCAGTTTGACTTAGAATATCAAGTAGAGCAAAGATCTCTGACATTGAGGAGGATCCTACTGCAGTTTGCAATGGAGCCTCTGTCTCTCAGCGACCACAAGCACGTCACATTATATACTTCATTCAGCATCTGTCTCTCCATCAGGAAGGTCAACAGAAACAAGACAGCACATTAAGAGGGGCCTACTGACTTTGCTGTTTTAAATGAACATTAGCATTTAATGTTTTATTTCCAGAATAGTCAAAGTGTTTTTTTTTTTTTTTTTTCAAAGTTTTACATTAAGTAAGCATATTACCAATGTATTTTTCTGGAACATGATATAATTTTATATCTGTCCAGTACTTAATATAAAACTAAAGCTAAGACTACCTTCAAGACGAACGAACCAATACGATAGATTAATAGGGGGCAATACAGAAGGCAAAAAGGTAAGCTACAACACCACAGAGGCACTTAGCCGCTTAAGGCTGTAGATGTCCAAGGTTTATAACAATCCAGCGGTCTGTCTGCAGTTGAGACAGGCTAATGGCAAGCAGTCCTCTCCAATGCAGACTCCAAAATCTGGAACGCACCCTCTTCTCCAGTATGAGGAAACCTTGACCCAGTTTCCCTGCTTTTGATTTCTGATGCAAAAGGTTATGGAAAAACAGCCCTACATAGTAAGACAGAGGATCTACCACTGTACTTTCTAGGGCTCTGTTCAACATCAAAATCAGACCAAACCTCTCCACAACAGCAACAAAAAGGTAGGCCACGCAAAGACAGTTCAGGTCTTTATTTCCCTCCTTCACCTAATCTAGAACTCAAGACAAACAGCTGTGCTGTGTAGAGGGATAAGACCCATTCAAGAGCTGGCTTTCGGTTCAGCTTCCCTCATTCAGAGGGACCTTGACAGCCTGGAGAAGGGGGCAGACAGGAATCTCATGAAGTTCAAAGGGAAGTACAACGTTGTACACCTGGGGAGGAATGACCCCACGTACCAGTACAGGCCTGGGGCTCACCAGTTGAAAAGCAGCTCTGAAGAAAAGGACCTGAGGGTCCTGGTGGACAAGCTGAATATGAGCCAACAATGCGCCACTGCAGCAGAGAACAGCAGCATCTTGGGCTGCATTAGGAAGAGCGCTGCCAGCAGCCCATGGGAGGTCTTATTCCCCTCTATTCAGCATTGGTGAGACCACATCTGGAGTTCTGTGCCCAGTTCTTGGCTCCCCGGGATGAGAGGGACATAGACATAATGGAGCGAGTCCAGCAAAGGCCCCTAAGATGAAGGGTTTGGAGCATCTGACACACTATGGGAGGCTGAGAGAGCTGGGATTGTTATGAATGTGCATAAATACCTGATAGAAGGATGTAAAAAAGCTCAAGTCAGGCTCTTCTCAGTGGCACCCAGTGACAGGCAAGAGGCAGGGGGCACAAATTGAAATACAGGAAATTCCGCTTAAATATGAAAAAAGCTTTTTCACAGTGAGGGTGATCAAACACTGGAACAGGTTGCTCAGAGAGATCGTGGAGTCTGTCCTTGGAGCTATTCAAAACCCAACCAGACAAGGCTCTGAGTAACCTGCTCTAGTTGGCCCCGCTGTGAAGAATTCCCTGCTCTGGATTAGGCTACTTCTCTCTTTGAAACGGGCTGTGGACCACAGGTCAGGAAACCCAGTGCACTATGTTCAGCCATATACACACGTACAAGATACGTACAGAAGCATAAAACAGAATGGCCACTAGCTTTGTAGTTTCGGTTCCCTCCTTCCCAGATCTCAAATTGCTTTCCCAACCTCTCTCATCAGTACTGCAAGATAAATATCATATGCAAGCAGACACCGTACCTAAGAATTCACCTGCTACCAAACCTAGATTAAAAGTCCTGTATCCAAGGCCTCAGTTTTTCACCAGTCCCACTTGCAAAGCAGGCTAGTCAGGGAAATGTTACCATGCATATTAGCATCCCTAAGAAACGGCAAGGACTACTACGGAAGACAAACAGATTGTAAGTCTGGTTATCTTGGATTAAAAAAATAAAGGAAAACTTAACATGATGCATTCAGCACCCTAAACTGAAAAGGCATTTGCGTCCTGAGAGGCAGATGATGCCATCTGCTGCCTGGGAGTGAAACATGAAAATGGATGCAACTGATTTGAGTGCAGCGCTCCAGAGCGGCTTATCAAATGGGCACGTATGCATTTCTTCTGTTTGCCTAGCACACATGGTTGCTAGTACAGATGCTGCTTTCTCACCTTGTTCATTGCCTCCTCTTGAGAAGGTCAGTATTTTTTTGTAAAGATTGAATGTTTTTAGGCAGACTGTTCCCTTGTTCTTGTCAAATATAGCTTCCTGTAAAATTGAAAGAAATAAAAGCAAGACTTCCTTAAAAAACACCATCAACTGCTGTGCTTCAAAAGAAAAAAGAAAACATCAATAATACGTGAAAATAACCTTGATAACAAAAGTTAATCAGCTATTTCAATTAGAGACATTCCTCTCTTAATATTGGACCTTGAAAGTAAAGTCTTGCTGCTGTTGGCTTTAACAGAGGTTTTACCATATCTTCCATGTTATTTCAGAGTTAAAGCTTCTTTCATTCTTTATGTAATAAAAACTATGCCTGAAATCAGATCTGAACACTAGCTTTCCTGTAACTTTCACTTTTGTATGTTTTTGGCCTACAGCATAAGCATACAGTGAATGCAAGTTCTACTGACACCTTTGGTAACGCAGTGACGGTCACCAGCCCCTCCGAAATTCCGGTATCGTACTGCATGGGCCAGGCTTACACAAGATCTAAAATATCCCTGAAGGAGAGTCAGTGAAAACAGGAAGCCTCAGGTGTGGATTGCTTACTTTAATAACAACTCAGGTCAATAAAGTGACAAGCCTATAGAGTGGGTTACTGTTCTCAGTCTAACTCCCAACAGATAAACGTCCACCAGATTAGAAACCGGTTTCACAAACATCATTCTTCTCCCAGTAGAAAAGGGCTGAGTAGCCTGGAAGGTGGAGCTGCCCTGTCTAATGGTTCTTCTGCCATCAGCAGGAGCAGCAAGTACAAGCAGCACGTTGTAGCAGCTGAACATGCTATCCTTTCTCCTTTTACATGGCGGGGATGAGGGGGGAAAGGCGGCCACAAAACAGTTTGGGGTAAGTCTCCCCTTAAAGAGACACCACTACAAAAACACACACACACAAAACACTTATGTTCAGTTTTACTTTTTCATGCTTAGTGCAAGAATTGAACTGCCCTTATTAATTGGAGTCCTAATATACCAATTTCAAAGAGTCTCTCAAAACCAACAGCAGAACTTGTCTGTTTGGACTGCACAATATTAGAGTGCATCAGGCAGCAGAAATCGACGTCTGACAGCTGTTTCTGAACTAGCACAACGTCATTTCCTGAGTTCAGCGTCTTACCTCCCACTGCTCCAGATTCTGCGCTGCCACGAAGAGACACCCAGCCATATAGAAGAGTTTCCATGCCAAGCTGTCTGAACAATGCAAATGTAAAAGTTGAGTTTGTTTGGGGTTTTTTTCCCCCCACCTTCTTTGGTGTTCAAGCAGTTATTTTCCAGAAGCTACACACTCTCTTTGAAGGCAACAAAAGGAAAAAACGGCTTCTCTGATGCAACGTTTGTCTTTAATTGTAATGCAAGCTATTTTACTGTGCTTTTCCAGCTTTTAAAAAAAAGGAAAAAATTCTTTATTTTTCAGACTGCAGTCACACACAGTTATAAGTATTACTAGCAAGGTTGAAACACCATTACACGTCCTTTTTTCTTCCCTAAAAGCAAAGACATCTTAAAAGGCATCCACAAAACAGTCTCTCAACCTGCCATCAACCACCAGATGTTTGTGCTGCAGAGGACAAGGGTGAGGGACAACGGAAAGCAATTCCCTGGAACAAACGTATTTCTTTATAAAAGGAAACATTCGGCCCTCTTGACAAACAAACATTCCTATTTTACATCCTGGACATGTTTACATAAGGCAGCCTATCTTAACCAATGGCACAAAAGGCTGGAAAAAGCAATTTACTTGCTCAAGCTTCTAGTAAAGGCAAAGCAAAATTGCACCCAGCGTTGTTTGAGACAACTTTGTTGCAATGTTCCAAAAAAAAAAAAAAAAAACACCCAACATGTTGGTTGATACAGCTGGTGTCTCAAGTAGCTTTCACTGGACTTTGCTCTTAAAATAAGAATATATTGATTATATTGGTAGCACAACCTTACACAGTATTAAGCTTTAATATCTGAGGCACAATAAGATGCAGCAAGAGAACTGCAAGACAGCCTGCAGAACAAATGCCACTGAATGAGAAGGAAGGATACCTCTCCTTCGGTGCAAGCTGCTCAACTTTTAGGAGGGAGGAGCAGTAGCAGCTGTCTGTTCTTTAAAGGTGTTTCTTTTGAGTAATCTTTGCCAGTGATTTAACATTTTCCAGAGAAAGGGAGCAACTCCATCACAGGAAAAGTAATCACTTCATTATGGTGGCAGACAATCATTATATGTCCTCCCAGGAGAGCTGTAAGGATCAGCTAATCACATTTATAAAACGCATTGAAAGTGCAACATGCCACAGAGTACTGAGCATCAGTATTAAAAATACTCTTGCAAATTGAAAGGGAAGCTGAGCAAGGACCAGAGTTGTTCAGAAAATGATAGGCCATTACCTGCACTATAATAAGCAGCAGCCAAACCTATGGAGGCTATTCCTAGAATAAAAGGAGAGAAAAATTAGGACGCACCGGCAACTCAACCATCCGAAATTCCCTACTGAAACGTACATGAACATTCACAAGTTAAGTTCATTGCTTTTCAAAAAGGAAAGGAAGAAATTTGATTGCAACACTGATCGTACTGACTTCAGAGAAAGAGCGCTGTCTGCCTCCCACCTAATAATCAATCTCCCACTCTGCCGATAAAGAAACGGAAGAGTACAAAGGCTGAAGTCAGAAACAGAAGGTAGTAACAGAATGAAGAACCAAGTTTTAGAGCGACTCCCAGTCCCTCAGCGTAACCAATTGCACGACACTTCCTCTCAAGCCTAATACAACTTTGAGCGTGGTAACAAAGACTACCAAAATTATTCTTCCCAGGAAGTGCTCTGTGGAACCAAAAGGAAATTGCTGCAATGAAGCTGCGTCAGAAGCTGCCAACAGCTTTCTCTCATTCAGGAGGAAGTTGTGGAAGAGCGCCTCATGCCCCAGAACGACTCTGCTGCTGTAAAAAACCTGTCTCTCATCAACGAGCGTTTGATAAGCCTATGTCACTGAAAGCAGTGACAACATTGCAATGCCACTGCAGTGTCATCTACTCACAGCTGGAAAGCAGGATATGCAATATTTTTCCTACCAGCTCTCTCCGAGTGGTTGTAATAAATACCACTCCAATTCTTTTTTCTGCATGTGAAGTAAGTTTAAAAACCACATACCCTTTCAGAATATCCTGTCTGACTTCCTATTTCACATACATACAGTGCCCTTAAGAGTTCCTTGTCAGCCATGCAACAGATCTATCTCCAGCATTGCTTCAGTGCAGCAGCTTCCAAGATTCTTCAATTTCTGAAAACCTAGAGGTTTTCTGATGCAAGAATGGATCCCTTTCATGTATTCATATTGCCATATGGCATATACTTAACTTTCTTTTCTTGGTCATCTTTCAAGGGTCCCACAAAAATCACTCTATGAGCTTCCAAGATTCTACAGGTCAGATTGAAAAATTATCAGTCCTACAGCTGAAACTACCACACCGAGGAGGAGCCTGCAGACTCGTTCAGGGGCTATGTTAAGGAAGAAGCCCAAGTCATGATGATTCCCTGTCCTCACAGAAAACCACCTGAAAGATATACGCATCTCTTGTTAGAGGTTCTTTCAGGAACTTTTTCTGGGACCACTTCCCTTAAAGCAGGCACTGAAATAAACTGAGGAATAATCACGGTCTTACCAACAAAGAGAGACCAAGATCTGATGCCAGGAGACCTCTTCAGATGGAGAAGGAAACTTGTGCGGTTTTCAACCAACATGTACATCTTTGGAAGAAGCTCCCAACAGCCCAGTCAGACTCATGAAACCTTACAGGACAAAAAAAAAAAAAAAAAAAAAGTTGTTGCCCTCTACAGCTCTCTCTCTTCCTAGCAGTTGTCATGACTTCTTATCAAGTTTTAATCTAGATTATAAAAACTGTCCAGAGTAGGCATGTGGTCTTTTTCCTCACAGAAAGAAAAATGCATACTTAAGTACAAGCAAACAAGACAGTCCAGTCATGTGGAGATCTGCAAAACACGACAACAGGAATCTACACACGCCAAGAGACTTCCCATTGGGGGGGGATAAGAGGCAATTCCTTCCCACCATAAGCAGCACCCTCTGGAAAGGTTTCAGAAGCAAATGTGGAAAACAAGAGCCTGGAATGATGTTAGGGCTGCATGAATTAGCAACTCTTCAAAAACAGAAAGTAGCAAGAGTAATGGAAGTTTTTTGACACCGCCATTTATTCTGCTAACAGCAATGGTAGCCGTAACAGAGCAGCCTGGCAGCCGAAGCAGGACAACGAAGCCTTCTTCAATACAGATACGGAGTTTCTCAGAGCTGCGGCCGCAGCTCAGCACAGTGAGGTACCAGTGTCAGATGGCGCCAGATACGGCATTCCCATGTTTCAAGCCAGCTCCAGAATAAAACCAAGATTTTCCAGCAATAAGTATACTTGACTCGCCCCAACAAGACCATGTTCTTCAACCAAGAGAGAAAGTAACTGATTAAAAAAAAATCTGATTAGAGATTAAAAAAGGGTACTAACTGAAAACAGTAAGAGCAGGACAAACTTATGCAGCATTTCTAGCACGTATTTACAGCATAAAACTATTTGAATTTTGGCACGATTGTGGACTCCAGTGGAAAAAAAAAAAAAACCCTTCATCCTGATATCAGCACAAGCATAAAAAGTGTTTTGTACTAAAGGCATAGCAATAGGCATGAGGACCCAGCTGATCTTTCCAAAATTAATTATCACCAGAGAAAAAGCAGGCTGCTTACTGCTTTTTTCTCTTTCAGTAAACTGATAGAGATGCTTGACATTATTATTGAAGACCCTGATCAGTAGAAGCGAGATGGGAAAGGAAAGCACATGTTAATATGGCATCACAATGTTAGCAGGGTATACGCTGGCCTTAAAAACAAAACAGGAGAAATCCATGATTGTGGATAACCCCTTCCCTTAGCCAAAAAAAAAAAAAAAACAAAAAAAAAAAAAAAACCCCAAAAAAGCCACAGACATAATTTAATCATTAAGTAGCTGGCTCCTTTGCTGCAGGATCAGCGAGCAGGAGCTGGGCACTAAGCAGGTATTGCCTGCCCGCGTCGCGGGCTTCCAGATGAATGCCAGCGTTCAACAGTTCTTTAAACAGACAGGAAAAACGCTTAGAACCGAGCAGGCCCAAGCACGTCCCAGTCTGACGGAACAAAAGCACGCGACCTTCAGTCCTTTACTCGTCTCGCTGTTCTTAGATACTACATGACGCTCCCGCAACTCTGCACGGCCTGGCTAGCTTGGATACAAAGCTCCAGGGGAAGTTTGTTTTTTTTCTTTAACAGAACAGATTTAGCCCAAACCTGCCATTTAAATCAAACACACACACGACTTTGATTTCAGTAGCTCTTAGCAGTGCATCCGAGAGAACGTAAAACGGAAAGAGACGCGCTCCGTCCCCTCCGGGGGCGAAGGCTTGATTCCCGAGTGAGTAGCGGGAGGCGCGCTCCGCGCAGGCAGAGCCTCCTGCCGCCCAGGAAGCGTCAAGGAGGGGGCAGACGCGTGAAGGTCACTGCAGAAACCTGGCCTTTCTTCAGAAGGGACACGCTCGACTTGTGTGCGTGTTTGCCCCCGAGCGTGACCGCGAGCCTCTCACCTCACCGCTGTTCATTCGGGGGGCGCCATAAGGCAGAGGCCCCGTCACCCCCCTCGCCC